GAACCAGAGCTAAGTCTTATTGATTACACTTTTCAGGTAACTTTTGCTTTTCCTGAGCTGCTCTCAAAAATCTTTCCGTGTCTTAGATTTGGTAAGATTGATAATGATAGATCTCAGTGATTTCCTTTTGGGTTTTCCCTGCATGAGATTTGTTCAGATTCTTGAGAACATAGCTATCATCTTTTATAATGTTAAGGAGGTTTTCAAGCAACAGCAGTTCAATAATTGTCTCCATGCCTTTTATTTCTTACTGTTCTGTAATTCAGATTAAAAGTTAAACTTACTACCATTGGGTCAATTCCCACTAATTATAATCATGTATTACAAGTAAGAACGCCTTTGTGGATTTCCAAGGCTCTAACTTTTTACAGCAAAAGAGAGTTTCATCCTTTTCCTGTGGAATTCTGATCACATGAAAGATATTTCTTCTGGACGGTGCCACCTCATAGTTTAGTTTTCTTTGAATTATTTTGCTCTTTTTTCTGATTTTCTCTCTAGCAGATTATGATTTGCTTTTATGTTTACTTCATGAAGTTTTAATTGATACAATTCTATATCGCTGACGTTTTTATGGGTTAGCTACTTCTGAAATGTTAGGATTAGTCTTCTCATTTTCTATTTGGTATTTTTCTTTGGTTTCTAGTTTTTCAATTATTTTTTCATTTTGTTCTTGTAGGATTTTTCCTTATTTCTTCTAAAATACTTTTTCTGTTTTCATTATTTTTTCTGAAGCTTTTATCAAACTTTCTCTGCATCCGTTGACAATATCACAATATAAAAAAAACTAATTCCTTATCCCTTAGGTACAATGCCATTGCTCCCTGAATATCTGACTCTCTGCTATTGTCATTTGTTAGAGCCACTCTGTTTTGGCTCTTCGTGTGAACTGAGGTTGTCATTTGCCTCCCCAACATTGTAGTATTGATAGATTAGTATTTAATTAATTATTACATGATACTCTTTAAACATTCACCATCTGTCTCCTGGTGAATATGGTAGAGAATATAAATCTTTGTATAGTATCCTGTTCTTGTAGTGCAATTGAGGGTCAGTTTGGTTAATATTGGCTGGTATATATAAACAACCAGGTAGTGGCCCCCACCTAGTACCTAGTGTTACAGGAGATACAAGTGTGGCTGTGCTATGTTTGCACAGTTATTTTCTTCTTTCAAGTGGGAGAAGAAAGAAAGAGACAAAGAGAAAGATAGAGGGAACAATATAGAAAGGGGGTGAGGGTGGAGGACAAAAGCAACAACAGCAATAAGCATATGGGTGAAGAAGAAAAGTGTAAAGAAGAAGAAACTAAGAGAAAAATAAAACCTGAAGAAGTGAAGGAAAAAATAAAAACTAAATACAAGATATGAAAGAAAAAATAAAAGCTGAGAAAGAACATTTTTATAAGGTAAAAGAAAAAAAGGAAAAACAAAACAAAACAACAACAATAATAATAATAAAGGAGAAAACTGTTGGGATGCAGGGATATCTGTCATCCAAAAATTGCATAGTGGATATGAAAGTCTGGAAGAGTGATGAGTTGATGGACTGCCTGGTCTACATGTTGTCTGTTTTCAGGGGTCTTGATCCAGAGCAGTTTGTTCTGGCTTTGATGGTGGCTAAGGTCAGGCTATTTTTTCTTTTCTTCTTCTTTTTTTTAAAATCATTTTATTGGGGACGCATACAACTCTATCACAATCCATACATGCATCCATTGTGTCAAGCAAATTTGTACAATTGTTTCCATCATCATTCTCAAACCATTTGCTTTCTGCTTGAGCCCTTGGTATCAGTTCCTCATTTTCTCCCATCCCTCTCCAACCCTCCTTGATTATTTATAAATTATTATTTTTTTCATTTCTTACACTGTCCAATGTCTCCCTTCACTCACTTTTCTGTTCTCCCTCCCCCAGGGAGGGGGTTATATGTAGATCATTGTGATTGGTTCCCCATTTGTCCCCCACCTTCCCCTTATCCTCCTGGTATGACTACTCTCAATATTGGTTCTCAGGAGTTTATCTGTCCTGGATTCCCTGTTTCCAGTTCATATCTGCACCAATGTACATACTATGGTCTAGCCAGATTTGCAAAGTAGAATTAGGATCATGATAGCGGGTGTGTGTGTGGAGGAACCCTTAAAGAACTAGAGGAGGGTTGTGTGTTTCATTGGTCCTATACTGCAGGTCAGGGTGATTTTTCAGGGAAGAAATTCTTTTGGTCCAGTGGGTAACTAAGGACAAGGTGACTTTTGCTAGAAATAATTCTTTTTTCCCCTGTATTGGCCATGGACCCAGTATTGGGTGTGCTAATGATGTGGAGGCCACATGAGTCCAGATTTGGGAGTGATGCCGCAGGCACCTGATCTATCTGGGGCATCGCTATCTAGGGCAGATAACCTACCTCAGGCTAGGCAGGGTTGTGTTGAGGAAGGTGTCACTAAATCTCACTGGATGCTGGGTGGATATGGATGTGGCTACCCATGTTTCTGAGGTCAGTAGGATGCCATCAGTATGCCAAGCCTTTGATTGGGATACTCTTGAAGATGTTCAAAATGGCCATGCCAATCAGGCTGTCCAAAATTCACTGATCTGTATCCTCTCTTATTCTCTTATTTATTTTCTTCAGGTTCTTCCTGTAGTCTATATTCATTTTGCTATCCTTCTCTCTGAATTTCGAAGGCCTATGATTATCTATCTTCCATACGCTTCATTTGATCTCTGGGGTCTGCTGTACTGGGTTGTGTAGTCTGTCTGTCTAGTCATCTATCTTTGAGAATCCAGTTCTGGAAGAACTGAAACACATGTGCCATTATGAGTTAGAATCAACTCACCAGCAACTGAGATGGACAGTTATTGACTGCTTTGCATAAACAAACGAAATGATTTACTATGCTGGGAATGACACAGTTGAGAGTAAAGGTTTTACAGTCTTAGTCAAAAGATCATTTCAAGGTCTGTCTTGAAGTACAATCCTATTTATGATAGGATAATGTCTATCTGCATTCATGGAAATCCATCCAATACAATTATTATTCTAATTTATGTACTGCCTTGAAACTTAGTGATGAAGAAATATAAGAATTCCACCAAAATCTTCAGTCAGAAATTCAACAAACATGCAACCAACATGCATTTATAAATATTGCATTCCAACGTTGTAACACAAAGGCTGCAAACAAAGTGGAAGCAACAGAAATAGGATTATGGTCTTGGAGGTAGAAACCCAGCTGGAGACTGCATAATCGAATTTTGCAGGATGAAATCTCAAGAACGGGTTTGACGCATTGAACACTAATGATAGAAAACCTGATGAACAGTGGGAGATCACCAAGAATAAAGTTCATGAAGAAATAAAAACATCATTAAAAAGACAAGCAAGAAAGAAATTATCATAGTAAATGTCAGAAGAGTCTCTCATGCTTGCTCTTAATCATAAATTATCGAAGGCAGTGGTTCTCAACCTGTGGGTCGTGACCCCTTTGTGGGTCAAACGACCCTTTTACAGGGGTCACTTGATTCATAACAATAGCAAAATTACAGTTATGAATTAGCAATGAAAACAATTTTATGGTTGGGGTGTCACCACAACATGAGGAACTGTATTAAAGGGCCGTGGCATTAGGAAGGTTGAGAACCACTGACCTAAGGCAATGGAAGAGATTATGAAAAAATCTGATTACTTACTTAAGCTGTATGCTGATCAAATCATGACAGAAATTGCCTTATATGAAGAAGAATGTGGCATCAGGATTGGAGGGAGGCTTATTAACACCCTGCTATATGCAGATGGCACAACCTTGCTTGCTGAAAGTGAGGAAAACTTGAAGCATTTGCTCATGAAGATCAAAGATTGCAGCCCAAAAGTAAAGAAAAGGAAAATCTTCACAACTGGAAAGATAGGTAACATCATCAGAAGTGGAGAAACAATTTGAAGTTGTCAAGGATTTCATCTTCTTTAGATCCATAATCAATGCTCACAGAAGCAGTAGTCAAGAAATCAAAGGACTACTTGCACTGGGTAAATCTGCTGCACAAGACCTCTGAAAAACAGGGCAATTACTCTAAGTTCTTAACCTGGGGGTCATGACCCCTTTCAGGGTGGAACCACCCTTTCATAGAGGTTGCCAGATTCATAATAGTAGCAAAATTACAGTTATGAAGTAGCAACAAAAATAATTTTATGGTGGTGGGGGGGGATCACCACAATATGAGGAACTGTATTAAAATGTCGCGGCATTAGGAAGGTTGAGAACCACTGCTCTAAGGAGTAAGGTATGCCTGACCCAGGCCATGGTATTTTTAATTGGGAAAAGTTGGGCATTGAATAAGGAAAACTAAATAAGAATCTATGCATTTGAATTATGCTGCTGGCAAAGAATATTGAAAATACTATGAGCTGCCAAAAGAACAAATAAATCAGTCTTGGAAAAAGTACACCAGAATACTCTTTAGAGACAAGGATGGTGAGGATTCACCTGAGATATTTCTGACATGTTGTCAAGAGAGATTAATTCCTGGAGAAAGACATTCTGCTTGGTAACGTAGAAGAGTAGTGAAAAAAGAGGAAGGCCTACAGCAAGAATGATGAACACAATGGCTTAAACAATAGGTTCAAGCACAGGAACAATCGTGAGGATTGTGCTGGAATGAGCAGTGTTTTGTTCTGTTGTGCATAGAGATGCTATTGATCAGAACCAACCTGATGGACTCTAACAATAACAGCAACAACAATATAGGTACCACCACGTATTATTATGTGAACTATGTAGAGGTCATATTTGACCTACACAAAGTAGCAGTAGAATCTCACTCCTCACCTATTGTCATCAGGCAGAAATCAATCATGACTGCAGCATCTGTCTTTCTTTACCCTCCTCTGACACTGAACATGGCCCCTACCAACACTCTACTTCTCTACTGAGTTTGATAGTTCATTGCAATAGCCGCACAGAATTCACAGAAAATACTGTTGATTAAGGGAGTTGATTACAAAAATTAACAAGTTGTGCATCAGTTTGGATTTGTGGCAGGTCCGATACCACGGGCCTCTCACAGTGTCTCATGCCAAAGCAAACTGTCACCCTAAACCATTGTCTGGCTTTATCTGGTGGCTTTAAGGCACTGAAGCATGTTGCACAGTGAAAAAAAAAAAAAAAAAAACTAACAAGTTACCTCAAAACTGATTAGAAAACATTAAGGATCCAGTCATTGCTGCCCAGCAACATCTCTCCTGAGCCAGCATCCAAGGCCCTTTTCATCCTCAGCCTCTACTTCCGTGGCCTGGAAAACCAGCTCACTACTCTGCCTCATAGTCTCTTAGTCTTAGCTCTGCCCCTGGTTTCCATGCTACAGTCTCTGGTGCCTCGGGATTCAGTCTTCGTCCATCAGACAGAAATCTCAAACCAAAGGGCTCCAATGGTTGCTTTTCTTCACTCATGGTCCCAGGGATTCTCCGTCTCTGCTTTAAAGAGGACTATTACATACATTGAAAGAGCGTTACTGGAAGTTTATTTTGTTATTGTTTTTTGAATGGATCATATCTCCAAGGAAACAGAGTGGGGTGGCTTGGTCCACATCCTCTAGTATGGTAGAGAAACTATATGCGACCTGAATCCTGTCCATCAGCACAACAAAGAACTTCCCAAACAAGATTGTAACCATAGGCATAGAGGCTAGAATTCATATTATATTATGTAAGAAATTGTTGGCAAAATGGTCATATTAATTGACTACATCTCACATGGTATATGGGTACATGCTGTTGTTAGTTGCCATTGACTCATTTCAGACCCAGGGTGACCCTATACATGTTAGAATGAAACATTGCATGGTCCTCTACCATACAATTGTTCCAGTGCTGTACCCATTATCACAGCCAGGGTGTCAATCCATCTCTCTAAGAGCCTTCTTCTTTTTCTCTGCCCTTCACTTTACCAAGAGTGATGACCTTTTCCAAGGGCTGCCCCTTCACTTTACCAAACCTGATGACCTTTTCCATTGTCTCTCCTGACAATGTGTCCAAAGTATATAAGACAAAGTCTTACCATCCTTGTCTCTAAGGATTAGTATATATATTTAGTTATTAAATATTTTAAAATAGAAAAAATATAAATTTAGTTTCTTGCTTAGTATATATAGCAGCTTTAAATCTGTGTATGTTTGCTTATATCTTAATGTTACTGAAACAGTTCATTGTTAAATCACTTTGACAATGCTCAATCCAACATTCTCTCGTCATAAATTAGTTTGGAAATTTCCCTATGGCGAGTTGTGTAAACAAACAAAAGCTGCAGGAAAAATATGCCAAAGGAATTTCATTTGTATATGAAAATTACATAGACACCATAGAAGGAATGCCAAGAAGCAAAGTCGTTCTTGAGCACTTGTCAAAGGCAGGATTCTACTTCTCTTAGTAAAAATAGAATTCCCAAAACAAACAGAAAGCACATGTTCAAAGTGTGTAAGTACAAATAGGACTTGATATACGCTATCTTGTCTATATCCCTTTCAAAGCCATAATGGAATCACATTCAGAGGTAAAAAAACTAAACTGTCAAACATATTTCTTGACCACTTCATTCTAATGTGTTCTGACTTGTCAAGGTGCAGGATTGAACACGGCCTAACAATAGTGTTCCTCTTAGATCTGTGGAGACACTCTAATTAATTCTACATGAAGACTTCAATAAATTCCTGTGTTTTTACATTAATTTAAAGACTATTGAAAGTATTATAACTTTTGTGATGAAAGTCAAAATTATTCAATCAAATATGAATTCACTAATTTATTTTCAAAGTTACTAAGACAAAAATTAAACAATCTTATTATTAATACTTTTACTTCTTTGAAATTGAACTTAAGCAACTTTGGATTCATTTTGTAAACATCTAGAAAAATTCACTTTCATGTCTAGTTTTAGATATATGATTAAATAAACATTAAGTACAGGCATATAATATCTCTTAACTATAACTGGGTGGGCAAAGCAAATAGTTAATCACAGGCAGAACAGAATAAGTAATACAGATCAATGTCTATTTGTCATGCATACTAACAAAGAAAAGACAACAGAGGTAAACATTTTCTTCTCAGGGAGAATGAAATTTATTTCTGATATATGCTAATTCTGAAAAAGTATTTGATCTATTGTTATTTATTCAAAATTTGGTGTTTTAGATGGTCTTATATGTAGTATTAACATCATGCAAGCATTTCTTTTTCCTTGTTTTGAACAGATGGAGTAATTAATTATCATGGAAGTTAGACAGTTTCTAAAAAGTGTTATTCCTTTCTCTTCAGCACCCTATTTTCTAAAGCAAAATATTTTCAAACATCCCCCAAACCTATGAGATAAATTAATAGATTTAATAACCATTTCTTTATGAATTATGCCTTTTAATGAATATTCCTAGTAGAAATTTTATTTCTGTATAGAAATAAATTAAATAGTTATAAATCGTGTTTTATTTTCTTTTTTGGACAAAGAAACAAACAAAAAAGCTTAATGAAATGAACCAAATTAACTCTTAATAGTGGGATCGCTACTGAGTTGATCAAGTACATGGACTTACCTATATTATTCTGTACTGGCATTTCCATACCTGACACATAGAAGCAGGAATCGAATACTTCACACACACACACACACACACACACACACACACACACACACACAAAAGAATAGTTCACAACAACCTGATCTATGAATAAAACAAATTATCAATTTAAAACTATAAATTATGTATCATTTATAAAATTATAAATTTAAGCTACAAATTATGTAATTTACTGGAGAAAATGCAAGTGAAAGAAAACATTCTACTGCACTCTGAAAATTCTCAGTAGGGATAGTCATTTTGTTGAAATGCTTTCACCTTGTTTTGAGTAACCATGTTCACAGGACAATGAGAACTGTTACTTCCCGGCCCCGCAGTTTTCCTTCTTATGCTTTCCCCTTCTTTTAATAGTATGGTTAAAACGTTGAAATAATTTAACGTTACCCCACCCTGTTCCTTCTTTATTTCTGTCAGAATCGTGTGATTTTAGAATTGATAAAACAATACCTAATAATTGGATGCTAATGATAGCGCTTGAATTCCAAATACACTGCCATTCAGTTGATCGTGAATCATAGGTATTCTTAGGGTCTAGAAAAACTGCCTCCTAAGGGTTTCCTAGACTGTAACTCTTCACAGGAGTAGAAAAGCTCACATTTATCCATTAGAATGGCTGGTGGTTTCAAACTGCGGAACCGGATGTTAGCAGCTGCAGGATTCTGGAAAGAAAAAAACCAAAACCCTCACTGTCATTAAGTGGACTCAGACTCACAGAGACCATATAGGATAGAATACGAAGCAGAGTGCCCCATCTTTCACCCTCAAGGGAATTGGTAGACTGGAACTGCTGACCACAAAGTTACAGCTTAATTTACAGTGTGAAGTGAGATGTGGAAGAAAATTGCACAATTTTTTTTGCTCATCTTCTGTGCCTTTCGTTTCATTATCATAGGAGGATCCCGTATTCCCCTATCTGAGATCCAGCTCACAATCCTGCTTTACAAGAAAATCAATTTACTTCCTCAGAGATAATTGTGATGGAAAGATTCACAAGTAAACAGGTTGGATTATATTTGGTAAGTAAGGGAGTATTGATTGATTGTTTTCTTCTTTTTTTTTTTTTTGCTTTTGTACATGTAGATGAAAATAAATAAGAAAAGAGTCAAGATGAGATAAGCAGTTTCAAACAGAAATTACTTTTACAAATAAAGATAGAAATACTTATAGGGAAATAATTTGAGGGAAACAAAATATCATTTAGAATATTTTTTATTCAAAGTAAGAATGTTATTTATTTTTAATTTATTACTAAGTAGGAGTTAATACATGTATCATATCTTTCCATAGTTAAATCGTGTCAAGCAAAGTTGTACAATTGCTACCACAATCAATTTCTAAACATTCTTTTTCTTCCTGGCCTCGACATCATCTCCCTTTTACCGCCCCTCCTCCACATCCCTGCGTCTGCCCACCCTTTGAAACCCTTATTCTACTGTTGTCCCTGCAGGACCATCAATCCTGGGTTTCATTAAGGATTCCGTTAGTGTTGTAAATGTCAAGTTCTAATTTCCTTGATTGATGGAGAAACAACACTATAGAGTATAATTTTCATAATTTGAAAAAAGCAAACCAACGTGTTAAAATAGTTTCAAATATTTAATAACAATATCAAATCAGTAGTATTCCTGACAATATATATATTACATATCTAATGGATTTTTTCTTTGATTTTTAAATTTTTTTCTTCAGTGTTATCATTTAACTGAAAAATTATCAATACAAAGTTGGGATTTTCTATAACAACCTAAAAATTTCATTTTAGAAAAACATCTAGGGCAATGAATGTGCAAATGTGCTTTACACAATTGATCTATGTATGGATTATGGTAAGAGTTGTATGAGCCCCTAATAAAATGACTAAAAAAACAAACAAACGTCTAGACCGACAATAAAAATATACTACATTTGCTTTAATAAATAACTGTGTTTTTAAAATATTAAGAACGTAACACAATTTATTTAAATACATGAAAAAATCCAATATGTTTTAGAAGATGCACAAAAAATGAAAAAAGAGATGAAAGTTGATTTAGTTGATCACTTTCTTCTTTTAAAAATGTGAAAATATTTGTACAGAGGCTGCAGATGACAGTGGAAGCCCCAAGTCTATTTTTATGATACATATATATAGTAAGTATATATATACATATATATAGTAAGTGAGTTCCTTCTGACTATCGTTGAGGGATGTGGAAATCCTTGTTCTAAGAAAAAACAGTAGTATAGATATGATTATAGTAGATATAACCAGGTTAAAATATAACATCAGATTTAATCCCCATTTTCACTCATTTAAAAGTTACACTAGCTTTAAAAAAAATGGAGGGAAAATACACAGATTAATTCTCCAGTGAATCCCCTCTGAAGATAGATCAGGGATTTAGACAACCTTGATATCATACAGAGTACATTGGAAAGTGTGTTTTGGAAGATGTAGTTAGGTTAAAATTGAATACCTGATCATTTGATCTCCTGTTTGACCCATTTTAAAATTGTTCTAGTTTTCATTATTTTTCTGTTTTTT